TGCGAGGGCGTGAGCGGGTGTGCGAGGGTATCAGCGGGTGTGCAAGGGTGTCAGTGAGTGTGCGAGGGCGTGAGTGGGCGTGCAAGGGCGTGAGCGGGCGTGCGAGGGCATCAGCGGGTGTGCAAGGGCACCAGCAGTTGTGCGAGGGCATGAGCGGGCGTGCGAGGGCACCAGCAGTTGTGCAAGGGAGTGAGCAGGTGTGCGAGGGCGTCAGCGAGCGTGCAAGGGCGTGAGCGGGCGTACGAGGGCATGTGAGGGTTTGCAAGGGTGTGTGAGGGCATGAGTGGGTGTGAGAAGGCGTGCAAGGGTGTGCAATGGCGTGCAAGGGCGTCAGTGGGTGTGAGTGGGCATGCGAGGGCATGAGCGGGCACGCGAGGGTGTCAGCGGGCGTACGAGGGCGTCAGCGAGTGTGCGAGGGTGTGTGAGGGTGTGTGAGGGTGTGCGAGGGTGTCTGAGGGTGTGCAAAGGTTTCTGAGGGTGTGAGTGCGTGTGAGAGGGTGTGCAAGGATGCGAGAGGGCCTGTGAGGGCGTGCGAGGGCACGTGAGGGCATGCAAAGGCACGCTTGCATGGCCACACGGGCACCGGTGGGGCTGCACATGCAAGGGGCTGTTTGCACGGCTGTTACACGCGTGGCTGCACATGCAAGGGGCTGTTTGCACGGCTGTTACACGCGTGGCTGCACATGTAAGGGGGTGTTTGCCCAGCTGCACACATGTGTCTGCATGTGCCCTGGTGCTTACACGGCTGCACATGCGTGTCTGCACATGCCATGGTGTTTATACAGCTGCACACCTGTGTCAGCACATGCACTGGTGCTTGCACAGCTGCACACGTGTGTCTGCATGTGCAGTGGTGTCTACACAGCTGCACACACGTGTCTGCGCATGCAGTAGTGTTTCCCCAGGTGCACACGCATGTCTGCACGTGCAATGGCGCTCACACGGCCGCACACGCGTGTCTGCACGTGCACTGGTGTCTACACGGCCGCACACCCATGTCTGCACATGCAACGGCGCTCACACGGCCGCACACGCGTGTCCGCGCGTGTCCCCCCCTGCCCCGCGCAGGGTCTCACCTCGTCCTTGGCCTGGAACAGATACTCCTTGCCGTCGCTCAGCC